CTGTTTTCAAGATCAAAGCCAATGAGGACTTTTACCAAACTCCCCCCAAAACAGTGCAAACCTAGAAGTTAGCCCAGACCAAATGCTCATAGTCCTCCAACAGAATTCATCTAGCTCCCAGATCTCCAACATTCTCATTGGCCTACATCAAGAAGCTATAAAAAGAAGAGGTACAAAAAAGGGCTTCTGATGGGTTGTGGCCCAAGCCGAGGTCTTTGCCCCTTGCTCCAAAGGGAATCTGGCTCCCCTTTGTCTACAGGTCCCATCCCCTCATCTCCTTTTGAAAGCCTTAGTTTACCTTTTAATCTCATTCAGATGCCTTTCAGTTCATTATCTATTCCCCATGTCTATTCAATCCTTTAGACATTCCAATCTCTGGGAATTCTCACCCAGACCCTTTTCCCAGACCATTTTCCTAGGCCACTTTCCCAGACCCTTCCCTGGTCACCCAAAAGTATATAAGATCTACCCCAGCCCTCATTCAGGGCTAAGAATCTCATGCTCAAAAGGCTGAGACTTTCTCATGCCCGCTTGTCCTTATGGGTGTCCCCCGGCCTATGTGTTTTATTACTAATAAACTTTTCCTCTGGCCGAAGATTTGAGTTGAATTCTTTCAGACAGGGCCCAGTACTGTGATTTTGGGGTTCCAGAAGCACCCCAAAAGTCCTAGACCTCTTCACTTCCATACTCTAGAGAAGGAAAAGATTGTTTTTGGCTGGGGACATTAGGGAAGGCTACATAGGGAAAAAGTGGCACTTGATTGGGTACAATTTCATCAGTCTTCTGTGGCTTCCTATTGCCACTAGGATAAAATATGAACTCCTTGGTTTGTTATTTAAAGTCTTTCACAATCTGGCACTGTCCTTTTCTAAACTTAATTTTCACTTTTATACACTCTATGCTCAAGTCAAATTGTCCTACTCTGTGTTCCAAAATCAGCAATCCCCTCCCCTCTGTGCCTTTTCACATACTGCACTACATCCCAGGAATGAACTCCTTTTTCAACTCCATTGCTTTAAAATTCTTACCTTCCTTTAAGAATCAACTCAGCGGCCACCTACAAGAAACATTTCCCAATCCCTTAGTAACAACTAAGTGCTCTTCACTTTAAATTATTTTATGTTTGCTTTTCTGCTTACAAGTCTAATCCTCCTGTGGAATATAACCTTGAAGTCAGAGACTTTTGATTTTGTCTTTGTATCTATGTAGGAGTACCTTGCAAACAGAAGGCACTGAATAAATATTTATTATTTCTTGATTTGATGTGGGGTATGGGAAAAGCAATTCTAAGTATATGTGGAGATAGATGAGAAGGAAAAGTTTGTGTATTGGTAAGCAGTACAATTTGGCTTGAACATCATAGAACATGAAGGAGAGTATGCATAGGTTGGAAACGTGATATTAAGAGACTTGAATTCCAGATGAAGAAGTTTATTCAGTGAGCAATAGGGATCCTGGAAGATTTTTCATGAACAAAGCTGTTATTTCAGGAAGGTCAATTCATCAGAAGAGTGTAACATGAAATGGAAGGGTAAGAGATCCCAAATTTAATAATCCTAGCTCAACTCTATAATCAAGTATCATCTATGAATTAGAAGAAAAAAAAAGATAGGTTATATTATATACCAAAGATTGCTGGCTTTTAAAAGGAGTGCTTCATTAGGTTTGTAATTTCTTTGGCCTGTGACTCCTCCCCAAAACGCAGATCACACAGCCTTTTATTCACTATGAAATTTTCAACCATATTTACTATAAGTCTTCTACAGAAGAGCAATCCAAAGCAACGGAAGCCTTTGTTTTGCTCAGTTATTATCTTGGGGTTGGCAGAGAACTGGTCTCAAAGCCAGGAACACTTATGCTCAAATACCACTCATGACACATACTGGATTTGGGACCCTGGGCAAATTACTTAACCTTTCAGTGCTCTAGGCAACTCTCTAAGAAGATAAGTCAAAAGAAGGTGATGATCTGCAATGGTAATTCTGGAGTTCCCCATATAAATAAAATCACCAGTCAGGCCCCAAGCCCTATTATCTTGGATGGCTACTCAATCATCCCCTTTATTGTTTCTTAGCATTATTGGGGGGGGGGTGGCTAGAGAATCTACATATAAAGTTAAAAAGATGGAGAACCATGAGCAAACTGTAAAGTTTATCTATATACATGTATAGAAACACATGCACTTATTTCCAGCACTTGGCACAGTGCTGGTTACATAAAAAGCACACAATAAATCCTAATTTATTGAATATTATAAATACATGATAATTACATTTCATACCTTTTTTTAAAAAAGAAATGATCAAAGTGAAGTGGGAAGAAAAAGGATAAGAAGGAGAAGGTAAAAAAAGAATAGGAAAAGAAAGAAAGAGAGGAGAAATGAAGGAAAGAACATTGCACAGGGAGTTAGGAGATACAGATTCTCACTTTAGGTCTGTGATTATCTGTATGACACAACCTCTTTGGGAGTTTAGCTTCCCATGTGTATAATGATATATATATATATATATATATATATATATATATATATATATATATATATATATATATATATATATACATATATATATATATATATGTAAAAATATGTAATTAATGTATAATGAGTAATATGTATTAGATTAACATTGAAGCTCCTTCTAACTTTAAAATTTTATGATCCTGTAGGCCTTGCCTCTTACTTTACTGAGAAGATCAAGACCATCTGGTCTGAGCTCCCTTATCTTCGCTACATTTCAAAGTCACTCTTTGCCTTCACCCCACTCTACAATTTTGGTCTCATCTCATAGAATGAAACGGCCCTCCTCTTTGCAAAGACTAACAGATCCATCTGTGCCCTTGATTCTATCACCACTGTCTTGGGCCCTCTTCTCTCTCTAAACTACTTTCCCATGGTGATCTCATCAGCTCTTATGAATATAATTACTGTCTCTATGCTGATAATTATCAAATCTACCTATCCTGTCCCTACCCTCTCTGCTGACCTCCAATCTCACATCTCTAATTGCTTTCTAGATAGCTCAAACTGGATATCCAGTAGACATCTTAAATTCACCATGTCCAAAATAGAAGTTTCCCCCTAAACTCTCCATTTTCTCCTAACTTTCCAATTACTATCAAGGACAAAATCATCCTCCCAAGCCCTCAGGCTCACTATATACCTGTTATCCTTGACTGCTCACTATCTCTCACACCTCTCCTTATCCAATCTGTTGTTAAGGCCTGTCAATTTCACTTTTGCAATATTTCTTAAATATGGTCCCTTCTGTCTTCTGACATTGCTACCACCCTGGTACAGGCCCTCATCACCTCAAGCTTAGATTATTGCAAGAATCTGATGTTGTATTTCTCTGCCTCAAGTCTCTCCCCACTTCAATCCTTTCAGCCACTAAAGTGATTTTCCTAAAGTACAGATCCAGCTATGTCACCCCCTTACTCAATAAACTTCAATGCTCCCTTATCATCTCTAGGATACAATATAAAATCCTCTGTTTCATATTCAAAATATTTCAACTAACCCCACACACAGCTTTTCAGTCTTCTTATAACTTACTACCATGCACTCTTCGACACAATGACAATGACCTCTTTGTTCCTGGAAAAAGACACTCCATCTGTCAGCTCTACTCATTTTCTCTCGCTGTCCTCCACGCCTCGAATGCTCTCCTTATCTCCCCCATTGGCTTCCTTCAAGTTCCAACTGAAGTCTTATCTTCTATAGGAAGCCTTTCCCAACTCCACTTAATTCTAGTGCTTTCCCTCTTTTATTTCCTATTTTTCCTGTAGGTAGCTTGTTTGTGCATATTTGTTTGCATGTTGCTTTCTCCATTAGTTTGTAAGCTCCTTGAAGGCAAGGACTGCCCTTTGACTCTTTTTTATGTCCCTAGCACTTAGCACAGTGCCCTTGCCCATAATGGATGCTCAGTAAATGTTTGTTGATTCACTGTCTTCCCTGGGATCTCCATTGATCATCTGTGTTCTCTCTCTGGGACCTTCTTCTTCTCTACTAGTTTATTCCCTGTTACCTACAAACAACCTAATTTCTTCCCATCATAAAAACCTTCTTTCATTCAAGCTTACAACTCATGAGTCCTTGATTCTTTGCTTCCTTTCACACCCCACGTGCAAGCCATTACCAAGTCCTGCTAATCTACTGGAAGCCAGATGGCAGAAAAATAAAGAAGGTAAAAGAAGGGGCAGGGTTTTTTTCTTTTGTAGGTATGGGCAGGGAGATGTTGGAAAATGAGTAGAATTTTGGATATACCAAGTTTAAAGTGCTAGAGGAACATGGAGATAGTAGATTTGACTGATTCAAATTTGAATCATTGAAAATAATTTTCAAAACACAAAGAGATACAGAAGAAAGGGATGGCTGTGGCATTTTCCAATGGAGGACTATGATTAGTAGCAGATGGACAAACAGTACCCTTTTCCCAGAAGGTCTGTTACCTTTCCAAACTCTTAAGCCAATGGTCTAACTACATTTTAGCAAACCCTCAAATTAGCAATCCACCTTTGTTTTCTTAGGTTTATTCATCTTTGCATAAAATTTTATAAGGTTTTGGGTTTTTCTTGTTTGTTTCTCACTCAAATAACACCATAAAAATATTCACTTCTCTGGCAGCACTGGGAGAATTGAAAGGAAAGATTAAGAATGATACTGTGCATGACAAGGAATTACTTGTATCGGCAATTACTGCCATAGGACTCACAGCCTCAGTTTGATGCTTTCTTCTTCTGTCAGAAATCTGCATGTCTAAATGTCAGATCAGAAATACTTCTATGATTAAATATTTATACACACTCATAAATGTGTATGGTACCATACAAGAAACTGTGCCAAAGAAAAAATACCATCTTCAGCTGGTGGAATGCTGAGAAGCCCAAGTAGAGAGTATATGCTGACCAGAATTATGGATCCCACTTAGAATGAATGGGCTGGAGAGGCAGTAATTGGAATAGGCTGTAGGATAGTGGGTTCTCACAAGATTTCTTAAGAAGTTATCATCATCATCCTACAGTAAAATAGAGCAATTAAACATGTGTTGATGTAATCTCTTATGTAGGAAAATGAGTGATGACAGAAAAGCATGTTGAGGTAAGATGTATGGAGTGATTTGATGGACAAGCAAAAGATCTTTTTGCTCAATAGTATTTTACCACATGGTCCAAAATACACACTATTCTATTTAATGCAATTTTAAGGATGTGGTCAAAATCACATACAAACTTCTCCTATTTTAGCCATGATACCTTAACTAGGTAGGATCACAGGCTTAGACTAATGCTGAATAGCCCTTTGAACTGGAATGACTTTGCATCTAAAAATCCCGTTTGGGTAAGGCAAGGAAACTTAGTTCTGCCTCAGGGATTGCCTATAAATTATCAAGCAAATTATAAAGGGAACAATTCTAGAATTTGGAGCAAATTCTCTTCCCCTGAGAAGATACTGCCAAGAAGGAAGGAGAGGCCTCAGCTTTGGTCTCAGCCATGTCTCCTTCCCCTCCATCTTCCTCCTTTGGCCTGAAGTGGATCCTTTAAGTTTCATCCTCAGGGTCTACAGGATATTGGATCTTTCATCTTCCTATTCTTGTCCTATTGACTTCCCTGGGTCTGCTACTGGCAGCGTCTGCTTTGGGAGACAAGGGTAGAAGGACCTGAAAAAAAACAAAACAAAACAAACTATACTATGCCTAAAAGAATGAACTTATTCAACAACTAGGAACTGCAAATAACCACTTTGTCACATGGGCTTTCTAAGTTTGATCCCAGTCTGCCTTGGACTCTGTCTACACTTGTGGGAGAATGTCACAGACTTTGGGGGTGAGGGATGATTTTTACCACATACATGTTTTATACTTCTTATTGTAGCACCTTAGTGAATATTTCTTTCCAAAAGCTACTTAAGATGGCTAATTAAATTTATTCTTAACTGATAATCTTTGGGAAAAGCTTACAGGTTTGAGCCAGTAGCATTAGAACATCACCCTTCCCTAACTACCCAGGGGTATCCCCTAAAGACCTGAGTGGTAGATGAGCCAAGCTCTTCAGGCTCAACTTAAGTTGGAGCTGGAATAAGGATCCTTAGAATTGACAAGGATTAAACCAGTGGTATCAAATTCAAATAAAAATGGGAGTCACTAAATCTATACAAGGATCCCTGGGGCCCATGTATTGACTTAGAAAATCACAATAGCTTTATATATGACCGATTATATTTCATTTCCCTTTTTGACTGGGTTATTATGTTGGCAGATCAAAAGGGGCTAAGAGGACTATTTCCTGGAAAGAAAAAATAAATAATCTAATGTCTATAAACCATTAGCGCTCCCCCCTACTCAGGAACTATATTTGATGGGGTGGGGAGGATGCATGGAGACTTAAGGAAGCTGGGAAGAAGTGTGGTTCAGGATGCTATGTCTGGAAAACCCACCAGGTGTAAATGCTCAGCTATAGCTGCTGACTTCCTAGACAATACAGTAGAAAGAACAGTGAATTTGGAATTACAGGACATGGGTCCAAATCCTGCTTCTATTACTTACTATCAGTGTCTGAGTCTTCTACTTTGCAGGAGGTCCTATTCAGGACAAGTGAAAACTTGATGATTGCTGATGCCAGATCAAATGCCAGAAGAGTGAGAGACTTTCACAAAGTATCAGGGTCTGCCCTTTTAAAAGTCCTGTAATGATGACAGAGTGACCTTTGACAGATACCTTTTACATCATCCCTGAGCCTTTTTTCTCTCTGCACTTCCATCTCTCTTTGGTGCTTAAAGATCAGGAAAACTTGTAGGGGAAAATAGGTCACCCCACTCTGCAATGGAAGGCTGTGGAAGATTGTTACATCTAAAGTTAAGCAGATTATTTGACAAAGTCTCTCATGCTAACCTTATGGACAAGCTAGAGAGATGTGGGTTAGATTACAGCACAGTTAAATGGATATGGAACTGGTGAATGACTAGAGCCAGAGTATGCATCAGTGGATTGAGGTCAGCTTCAAAGAACTCTAGTAGAGTACCTCTGTACGATAGCTTACTCATCAAATTTACAGATCGCCTTAACCTGGAAGGTATAGTTAAACAGGCAACACAGAGTCAGGATCCAAAAAGGTCTCATCAAGCTAAACATAATAAGATGAAATTTAATAAGGATAAATGTGAAATCCTACATGGGTGCAAAAGTGTGGCTAAATAATTGCTTGCATGAAAGACAGCTAAGTTCAATATGAGTCAACAACATGACCTGGAAGCCAATTAAAGATAATACAGTTTTAGACATCCTTAATCTCCCTCTCCTCTTCAAAATTTCAACCTTATCAATTGATCCCTTCCCTACTGCTTTTCAAAAAAACAAAAAACAATTCTTTTCCTCATCCTCAAAAAACCTTCATTAAAAACTACAATCCTTTTCAAGTTATAATATCCCTCCACCCTTTCTTAGTCAAACTCCTTGAAAAATGTGTCTATACTTGCTGACTCTACTTCCTCTTATCTCACTCAATATGGCTTCTAACCTCATCATTCATGAAATTCCTGTCTCCAAAGTTATCTATGGTTCCTTAATCAGATCTGATTTTTTGCTTCTTTGTTTTCCTCAATCTTCATTCTTTTCACCTCCCTACAATATTTGACACTGTTGACCACCCTTTCCTCCTGGATATTCTGGGTTTTCCTGACACTATTCTCTCTAGTTTTCTTCCTGTCTGATCACTCCTCAAGTTCCTTTAGTGACACATCATCCACATCACTACCCCTATCTGTGGGGTGTTCCCCAAGGTTTTGCCCTAGGTCCTCTTCTTTTTTCCTGTCTATACTTTCTCTTTTGATAACAACTTTATCTGATCCTGTCAGTTTAACTATTAGCTCTATACAGATGACTCTTAGATCTATATATTCAGTTTCTTACCTGAGCTTCAGTCCCATGTCATCAACTGACTATTGAACATTTCAAACTATATGTCTAGGAGTCATCTTAAATTCAATATATTTAAATTTGAATTCTCTTTCCCCTGAAACCAGAGGTCTTAATTTGGGGTCTGTGAACTCGAAAAAAAAAAAGAACCATATTTCAAAATGGTTACTTTTGTAATCCTATATATTTTATTTTATACACTTTTTTAAATATTGGAAAGGGTCAATAGGTTTCACCTGAAGGTCAGAGATGTCCATGACACAAAAGTCAAGTACCTCTCCTTTTTGTTTCCCTCTGCTACCATCACTACCCATATAATTGATCAATTCAACAAGCATTAATTCAGCTCTTACTATGTAGTGCTAGCGGCTAGCTGATTTTCTAAGTTCACAACATTTAACTCTAACACTATCTAGATCCTTATTTCTGTCGTCTTCTGATCTCATCATAGTCTCTCCTTTCTCAATGAATTAAGTAACTTGTGACTAGTTCTAAGGCTGATCTGGTAGGGTTTTATCAATTTTTCTAGGTTCCCTATTGTCTATAGGCGGTTAAAGATCTTCATAATTTAGTTCCAGTCTATACTTCCTTATTTAATAAATATTTCTCCCCCTTGTGTATTCTACTCTAAGTACCAGACAAACTAACCTTGCCACTCCACTAACACAGCATTTCATTTCCAGCCAGGGTACCTTTCACAGGCTTCCCCCCTCCCCCATTACCTGAAATACATTCCTGCATCATATCTGCTTCTTAGAGTCTTTAGTTTCATTTAAAGATCAGCTTTGAAAACTGAAAAATCAATTTTGAAACTTTTCCTGCTTCTCTTAGTTCTTGGTTCTCTGTCCTGAATTTTAATTTATATGTATTTATTTACATATATGGTACATTCCCCCCATAGAACATAAAAGGAGACTCTCCTCTTAAAACAAAAATCCTCAGCACCAAACACAATGCCTTACACATAGCAAACAATACTCTTTTAAAAGGATTTAAAAAAAAATTAACAAGAATTTATTTTTCTCTCCCTTCTACTGCTCCCCCACTGAAAAAAGAAAAACAAAACCTTTATAACAAATATGCCCAGTCAAACAAAACAAATTCCCATACTATCCATGTCAAAAAAAAGATGTCACATTCTGCCTATTTAGTCCTTCAACTCTTCATTTAATAGGTTCCTATTAAATTGAATTCCTTTCTAACCCATCTCTTGCCCTCAATCTCGGTAACCTCAACATCCAGTTTGAGTATCCTGCCCTTACAATTTCTCAACTTTTCTCTACTCCATGATTTCTTTTTTCAGCGACCCATTGGGGAGGGGGATCATCTTAGCTCTCACCATCCATTCAAAACCATTCTATCTCCGGGATTTTGAACTCTGATCTTGTCCTCTCTGACGACAATCTACTGTTCTTCCATATCTCCAGATGCCTTACAACTATTAAAATTTGTTCTTCATCCTCACTGATCTTCAGTACCATAGTACCTCCCCTGGTCTTCCATTGTTTACATTTAATAAATTCTCAACTGTGGGTCACTCTCACTATCTACTTTTTCTACTCTTCCCAATTAATAAAGGCTGGAGGAAGTCATGAGATCACACAGACTAAGCCCACTAAAAATTCACATTATCTAATATCATCAAGGCCTTCATGGTTGCACCACATTCAATAAAAGATTCTTAGACTTGGAAGTTGTCTAGTCTAAGCCCTTCCTTCAACAGATAAGGAAATTGAGGGCCCTTTAAATGATTTACTCAAGGTCACATGGTAAATGTGACAAAACTTAGATTTGAATTGTTTCTCTGACTCTAAATCTAGCACTTTTTCCACTGCACCATGCTGCCTTTATCCTTTTATTTATCTCTGATTGCCTTTATTATATGCTTTCCACAGTTTTAAAACTTCTCCTCTCTCCTGAAGCCTTGAGCTTTACTGATAGCCCTCTCTCATCCCCAAATTACTTTCCTCCTACTTCACAGAGAAAGTTGAGGTCAGCCAGCATTATAAAAGATACTTCCATCTACTTTCCTCCATTTAAAAAAAATCTGTGACCTTTTATTTTTCAGTCAAGGATCCATTTGAAGAAAGGCATAAGATATTTGTTTTAGAGTCAGGGTAACCTGGGTTCCAGTCCAGCCTCTAATAATAGCTGCACTGTGGACAAGTCACTAACCCTTTCAGTGTTTCCTGGCAACTGTTTTAAGACTAAAATTTGGGAAACAGTTGACTCTCTTCATTAATACAGGGTATCTCATCACCAAGAGTTCCCTACACTGATCAATTCACAAATTCTTATTGAGTGCTTGCTTATTATGTGCCAGGAACTGGCTAGACTGGGGATACAAGTACAAACACCAAAACAACCCTCTATTCTCAAGAAGCTTACATTCTAATGGAGAAGACAAGTGGGTATGAAATGTGTGTATGTGTATGTGTGTGTGTGTGTGTGTATCATGTATAAATATAAAGTGAATAAATACAAACACATACAAAGTAGTTAAACACAAAGTAATTTGGGAGGGAGGGCACTAGCTATTGAGATCAGGAAAGGCTTCATGTAGAAGAATTTGCTTGAGTTGCATCTTAAGGAGGAGGACTCTATGGAGAGGAAATAAGAGAGGAGGTACAATCCAGTCCCATGGGCTGTAAAGTGGAACCATGAGTGAGTAATACATACATTTATACATATGGTAAAATCCTTGCCTTGAAGGTGATTACACTCAACCAGGGAAGGCCTTTCAGGAAAAACAAAATGTGTACATGCTAATATATTATTGTATTACATTAGGTTTTTAAAAGTATGTTAATCCAGTTTGAGCCTCACAACAAGTACATTAGTAGAGTATTATTTCTATTTCACAGATGATGAAACTGAGGACCAGAGTATTTAAATAACTTTCCCCAAGTTTTCTGTACCTAGTCTATCAGAATACAGTACTGAACAGTACTGATGAGAAGTCCTAAGTCTGGACTTGATTTTGCTACCAACTAGCTAAGGAAAACTTGGGAAAATAATTTCCCTTATCTGGACTTGTTTTCTCATCTGTAAAATGAGTGGAAGTTGGGATAGATGATCTCTAAGGACTCTCCAGGTTCTATTACTTCATGAACCTATGAAGTCTCCAAGTGGTAAAGCCCAGACTCAAACCTAAGATACCATATTCTTAGTCCCAAGTCTGTCCTCTGTTTCTAAAAGGGTGAAAGGATCTTTCTGGGAGCTTAGTAACAAGAAGTCAGAGGTCAAATCTGTCATCTCGGAAAATCAATCCTACTTGGCTTCCCGATATAGGAGTGGGTAATTAAAATTTCACTTTTAGCCTTCAATTAGGGAAAGTAGATGGCATACTTAAACTATCTTAAATTCAACATATCCCAAACTGAACTCATCATCTTTCCCCTCAAACTCCCCTCTTCCTAACTTTCCTGTTACTGTGGGGGGTTACCACCATCCCGCTGGTCTCCCGGGCTCATGCTCTCCCTCCCCCCAAACCCAATTCCAATATCCAATCTGTTTTCAAGGCCCCTGCATTTCATTTTTGTAACATCTCTTGCATGTGCCCCTTTTCTCCTTTCTGACACTGCCACCACTCTGGTGCAGGAACTTATCACTTCGGATATTGCTATACCCTGCTGGTTGCTCTATCCTTCTCAAGTTTCTTCCCAATCCAGTCCATTTTCACTCAGATATCAAAGTGATCTTAATACCCATCTGACTATGTGAACCGTCCCCCCCCCCCTTCATCAACTCCAGTGGTTCCATATTGTCTTTCGGATCAAATTCAAATTCCCTTTTTTTCTTTTTCTTTCTTTTCTTTTTGGCTTTTAAAACACTTATAACCTAGCCCCCTTCTTATTTTCCAAATTTCTTGCATTTTACATCCCACCGCCCACAACAAGTAGATGTAGTGACCCTGGCGGACTTGAGTTTCTCCCATAAGGATACTCCTGACTCTGGGGATTTTCCTTGGCTATCCCTCAGGTCTGGGATGCTCGCTTCTCCTTTCTGGCTCCTGGCTCCCTGATGTCTTAGCTAAAATCACTCTTCCTACACGAAGCCTTTCCTGACGGCCCCCTAATGAGACTGTCTTCTCTCTGCTGAATATCTACAATGCTTGCTTGGGCACAGCTGTTTGCATGTCGTCTCTCCCATTTGACTGAGCTCCCTGAGAGCAGGGACTGTCTTTTGCCTTTCTTTGTATCCCTAATGCTTATCAGGATGCCTGCGTGTAGCAGGCATTTAATAAACACTTACACATTGACACAGCAAAGCAAAACAGTAGCTTCCTTCTTCCTCCCTGTGAAGGCAGGATTGAGCCTCACTGGCCCAGAAGTGAACACGTGAATCCGGTACGACTCCACTTCCGGGATGCTTCTTTCCCTTAAGCAAGATGAACTCCGAAAACTGGCGCATGCGCACCTCTGCTTCCTGCGAACCACCCCGCGGCGGCGCTGCGAATCTCTGAGCTACGATTGGTCAGAGTCGAGCCCAGGGGGCGGAACCGGAAGTACTGTCAGTGTTGTGGTACGGCAGTCTGTTCGGTCCTCCGGTCCCGGCAGGCCCGGGTCTGTGGTTCGGCGCCATGGGGGAGGCGGAGAAATTTTACTACATCTACAGCTGCGAGCTGGACATCAACGTGCAGCTCAAGATGTGAGGGCGACCGCGGACAGGGCTGGGGATAGGCCTGGGTGGCTGGGCAGGGGCGAGCGAGAGCAGGAGCCTGGGGAGGAGCGGGGCAGACCCTTGGAGCAAGAGGCCGGAGTGTGGCCTGCGAGCCCCGAGGGCTTCAGGCCGGGACGGGGCGGGCCTCGCGAGCTTCCCCGGGAGAAGAGGGGAGACTGGGCGGTGTTGACAGAAGAGTCCGTGCTGGTGCCCTGGGGGCTTCATTGTCATCACTATCTGTACCCGGTATTGATGTTCGCAAAGGGCTCTGCATTTATTATCTTATCAGACTCCTAGAACCGCCCTGGGAGAGTAGTGCCATTATTAACCCCATTGACAGTTGAGGAAACTGAGGATGAGAGAGGTTAAGTGACTTGTGCAGCACCACACAGCAAATAAATGTCTGGGGCACAACTAGAACCCAGGCCTTCCCTGACACCAAGTCCGGCACTTCGTTTACTGTGCCACCTAGCTGCCTTTTAAGTGAAGTAAGGATGTTTTAAAAAACAAAACCTCGAGGGAACTACAGCCTTGAATCCCTAGCTTCTTTCAAAGCAAAGCCGAGCTGCCACCTCCTACTGGAGGCCTTTCCTGGTCTCCTCAATTGACCCAGTAATATCCCTTTGGATATTACTCTCTGTTAGTTTAGATTAATTTATCTGACTACATATTACCCCCTACCCCCTACCTGCCAGCCAGTAGAATTGATGATGTCATCCTTGATGACTGAGACTTTCTTTTTTGCCTTTGTATTCCCAATACTTAGCATAGGGCCACGTACGTTTTTTCATAGAGACAGACTCAGTGATTTAATTGATGTAGGACTCTCACAGAGAAGATGCTCCTAGATCAGTTACTTTGCAAATTAATTTGTAGAATTGCCTGAGTGCTCTGAGAGGTTAAGACACTTGCCCAGAGTCACAGAGCAAAAAAATCAATTGATGATCATGCATTTATTAAGTGCGTACTAGGTGCCACACTTTGCTAAGTGCTGGGGATACAAAGATAAAGGTAAAGTGGTCACTGCCCTTAAGGAACCTATTCGAATATAGGTACATACAAAACAGATAAACATTATGGGAGGAATGGAGTGGCCTGGAATCATGTCATTTGAGCTGATTCTTAGAGGAGACCAGGAATTTCAATAGGCAGAGGTAAGGAGAGAATGCATTCCAAGCATTGGGAATAGCCAGCAAAAAGACACAAAGATGGGAAATTGAGTGTGGTGTATGAAGAACTGTAAGAAAGCAAATTTCACTGCATCATCGAAATTGTAAAGGGGAATAATGTATAATGAGTCTGGAAAGGTAGCATGGGGCCAGTTTGGGAAGAACTTTTAAATGCCAAATCCTGGAGGTAATTGGGAGCCACTGGAGTTTTATTAAGTTGGGACCTGAACCTAGATCTTCCTGATTCTGAGGCAAGCTATCTATCCTCTATACATAACTGCCTTGTACAGAGTAGGCATTTAATAAATGTATGTTGAATTGAAGTGGATGTAAAGAATTTGAATTTATGGGGTGAGAATACATAGAATTATTTTGGAAGTTTGATGTCACTGAATTGAGAATGTTTTTTGATATGCATTTTGAGATATTGTAAGGAAATTACCATTAAGCAAACTGCCTCATTATTAATCATTCGACCTATTATTAACTCTTAACATTAAGCCATCTATGTGTAAGAATTGCTAGCACACATATATCCCTTCCTGTCATGTTCTTAATACATATTTCCTACTCTTTTTCAGGAAACACTTAAAATAATTTTAGTATGCATAGTTTAAGGTCACCTTTCCCCTCCTTCCTACTCCCTTGAACTCCAATACCAAGTAAATGCTGTCAAGTACAATGCACATATTCTCTTTTGTAGTTTAAATATTTTTCACCATACGTTTTCCCTTCCTTTTTGTATTATTTAGAAGTGAGTGTGAGTTGACCAGAGAGTTACTGTTTAGGAACTCTGCCCAAGCTGACAAGATTGTTTTAGGGTTTTTCTTTGAAAAACATTGCTAATAATGAATAAATGTTTTAAAGTAACAAGACTATTTAATTATGGACTTGGAATGGATCTTAGTAATCATTCAGACACTTTGTTTTGCAGGTGAGGAAACTGAAGCTCAGATAGGTCATATGACTTACCCAGTATAACAATGATTTAGTGACCATTATCATTAGTAGAAGTAGTAACAGGCCACATGAAATGTAAAAATCTTCTGGTCCTTGAAAAGTGACTCATGTTGAATATGTTGCGATTTGGAGACACCACATGATTACAAATTTTTAAAAAAAATTTTAACTTGGTTTATTTTTTAAGTATTTATTGACAGCAATATTTGAGGAACTGTCAGTCATACCTGTGCGATCAGGAACCCAAAACACAACAAAACAACAAAACTTTGCTTGCGAGGAGCTTATATTCTGTTCTCTTCTGTTGTTAGAAGCAAAAAGAACTTTAAATTGCTTCACCTGACGAGTGTTTATTAAACATCTACTGTGTATAAGAAAGTCACTGAGTATACGAAGCCCTCCCCCTACCCCAGAGTTCCTAAAAGTACTGGCTTTCAAGAAGCATAGTTCTTTTAGGGAAAAACAGCATGTGTACAGATAAGTAAATTTAAAATAAATGCAAAATAATTTTCGAGCAGTGCATTAGCAATTAGTGGGGAAAGGGATTGAATCATAATAGATGTTGTGGTCTGTCCTGAACAGGAGATGTGAGGAGAAAGAGCATTCCAGTGATGAGGGACGTGAAAAGGCACCAAGGCAGGAGAGAAAGCTGGGAGAGGAGCTATGTGGGTAGACAGCAAGTAGGCAAGTTTGCCTGGAGGATGGTGTGTTAGAAGGGTTTTAAATGCCAAAAAGAGGAAGTTGTATTTTATCTTAATGACAATAGGGAGCCACTGGAACTACTTGAGTAGAAGAATGACATGGTCAGACCTGTGTTTTAAGCATGTTAATATGGCAGCTGTGTAGGGGAGGAATTTTTATTAAACCAGCTTCATGTTCTTTGGATCCAAGTTCCTTGTGCTGAATGTTAATAGTTGTTTTTAAATAATCATCAAATACCTAATGCATTGTTATGATTTTTTTGCTTTCAGAGGAAGCCTTGAAGGGAAGAGAGAACAAAAGAGTTACAAAGCTGTGCTTGAAGACCCTATGTTGAAGTTTTCAGGATTATACCAGGAGACCTGTTCTGACCTTTATGTTACTTGTCAAGTTTTTGCTGAAGGGAAACCTTTGGCTTTGCCAGTGAGAACCTCCTATAAGGCTTTTAGTACAAGATGGAAGTGAGTATCTATTTTCTCATATGTTGTGGGATCTTGAAGTACCATTTTTCTTTTATTTGTTTTATGTATTTTTAGCTGGCCTATGGAGAAAAATTGGATGCCCATTGACTTTTTATAGTCTAGAAATTCAAACAGGATCTTATCATGATAGGATAATATTTTAGTCATATTATAATTGTGTTAGGAGTTGATGTTTGAATATACCTAGTGTTCAGTGTATTAAAATACTCTGATAAGCACTTTGGATTTTTAAAAAATTCAAAAGCATCTGTTCTTTAGAGAGATTTATTTTGCACGTATGCCCTATTGCCAAACAAAAACTTGGATCATCAAGACCTTGGCTTTCCATCTCAGTCAGGTGTTAGGTGTTTATATATGTGGAGATAGATCTCTTTATCTTTCTATGCATTTTGGTTACAGCTCTCTTGTTTAAGTTCAAGGACTTTTATCATGCTGAAAGGTGCTAATTCTTTTATGTAAGAATGTGGTTGTGGAAACAATAAGAGGATGGTGTAGTGAATGGTACACTAGACTTAGATTTATTAAGACTTGCGTTCAAGTCGTGCCTCAGATACTAGCTGTGTGAGCCTTGGTGAGTCATTTGACCTCTCTGTGCCTCCCTTTCCTCATATGTAAAATGTTGGGGTTGGATATGATAGCACCTTAAATTTATGATCCTCTAACCCCTTTCTCTTTTTGTGATTCTCACAGTTGAGCAAAGACAAAGTGAAAAAAAGGTTCACTTTACTGTAGGTTGAATGAATGTTTTTGAAAATTCACCTGAACAATAATCATACAAAATGCATGGTCAGGAAGGCAAGAAATTCCTTATGTGACTTTCAGAAGGATTAAGAAAAGACAGTGAATTACCAACATTTTTTATATGGCCTTTCCTACTATTTAAAAAGTTATAATAAGCAAATGAGATAACAATTTGGGAAATAATTAGCAATTAATGGGGCTTAGTCCAGTAATCTTAAGAGTAGGATGTTTTTTGTGACATGACTGTAGTCAGGGTAAAATTGTATATCTTTAGAATCACTGTATTTTAACTTATGAAGGGGTAATAAATACTTTTGCAAACTGAAGTTATTCTTTGAAAAGTTAGTCCTGTGAAATACTTTTCTGAGTCATGAGAAGATATCTCTAGGTTCCCAACACCTTAATATTTAGTGTCTAAAAATTATTATGAAATACTTGAACTGAGCCAATTTGTAATTGACAAACAATAAAATAAATGACGTAAACTTTTTCATGTAGGATTTTAGAGTTTGAGCTGCAAAGGACCCTAAAGACCATCTAGATCAGTAGTATGAAATAAAAACAGGCCATTCAACCATACGTAAGGGTCCTTGTACACTGCATGATGACTTAGTAAGTCATATTTTAACATTATCTATGTTTTATTGAATTTTTATTCATTTTGTTAAATATATCCCATTTATTTTCTAACCTTATTGTGGGCCACACTTTCCCAGCAGCATGTTTCGCATCTCTCTAGGTTAACCCCTCCCCCCAAATGGGGAAGTTTGCCTAAGGCAGGGGTGGGGAACTTGCAGCTGGAGGCCACATGTGGTCTTCTCCATCTTTGGGTGCAGTCTTTTGACCGAGTTTAAGTTTACAGCACAAATCCTTTTATTATGTCCTTGTATATTTTATGTTTTATTATATCCTTTATTACTAAGGTCTCAAGGGCAATTTGTGACAGAGCCAGGACTGAAATCTTAACGATCTTTCCAGGGTACCTTGCTATTTGTAGTGAATGCATAATCTGTGAACACTTGTTAGGAGAGAAAGAGAGGGGAAAAAAAAAAGACATGTTATGTATGCTTTCTTTATGATTTTTCCCATTAGGAGGTATTTTTTAGTTTAAAAGTATCAAAAATGCCCAGGTTTTCTGTGTGATTAAATACAGTAGGTTGCATATTTATCGTCTAGTTCTGCCCTTCTGATTTCCAGAAGCTCTGTTCTGTAGTTTTTAATGGCTATAACCTAAGAGTTGAAGAAGGAGGTTTCACTTCTTGGCTTTGTTGCTGATGTGTTCTTTGACTTTAGTCTAGTTAATTAACCTCTCCGCAGTTTGTCTCATTGGAAAAGAGAATAATGCCTATTATTACCTTCTCAGCCTGGCTTACTGTGTAGGTAGAAATTAAATGGATTCATTTAATTACTTAAGCTTATCTGTAACTTTGAATGATTTTCTGAAGGTATATGCCTTATTTTTTAAGAACTGCTCAGAGATTGATTAAGGTATGTAGCAACTTTTAGATTCTCCATAAAATTGACAGCTACCAATAATTATCTGTGATGTTCTTGAAAGCTAGTAGTGTATACAGCAGTTAGTAGTTTGTTGTTGTTGTTTTAAATTCCATTTGCATTTAAACAAATTGCAAGATATTTTCTTTTCTTACCAGTGCTGACTGTGAGCCAAATTTCCTTTGTATTCATTGCATAACAGTGGGTTATGCCCCTATGAGAATAATTTTGTGTGAACAGAAGCTTTTTTCCCAAATCATTGAGTGTGTCTTCTGTATATTACTTTGTGATTATAGTAATCACTTGCATGGTATCCTTTTGGGATTGTAGAAAGCTTCTGCTGATTAGGGGAGTTCTAATTATCAAGTGATTCCAGTGTGAAGTTTTAATGTAAGAGGAAGCTGTCAGAGGGAAAGAACATTAAATTTGAAGTCAGAGGACTTCGATTTGAATTCTAGCTCAGTACTAACTCTGCAACCTGGGGCAAGCCTCTTCCTACCTTCTCTGATGTCTGTTTTCTTATCTTTAAATTGGCAATCTTAGTGCCTGCCATGACTGATAGGGCTATTGTAAAAGGCAAATGAGATAATGTGTGTAAAGCACTCTGTAAATTATAAAGCACTATATAAATGTCAGCTATTAAAGGGAAAGAATAGAAGTTAAGGAAACACTTGACTTTTTTTTGCTTTTTTAGGAACAAACATTCCTGGTAAGATCAATATACTTGAAAGTGCTTTGAAAATAAAAGGTATCTAAAGTTATTAATGCTAATTAAGTGATCTGTGGTGGAAAAGAACATGCCTCAGTTAAAGGAACAGCTCTTGTCCATCTGTAATATTTCAGTAATTACCATAGTGTGTTATAAAGGAGAAAGATCTTCTCTTTTTCTCTTTTCTGGTATTTCATACACCGTTGTGGAAGCACTGTGAATCATAAAATATCCTGGTGATGAAACATCACTTGCCTGAAGAAAGATATAATTTTTATTGTAGTTTAAATTTTCTCTGGGTTCTTTTGTTTTGTTTTTAGAGTAACTTGCCTTCAGTTTGATTCCTTTTGGCTTTGGCCTAGTTTTTTAAGGCCTAGTTCTGTGCATCTGTTCCTCTTTATGATCAGTTTAAAAGAAAACTCATATAACAATGTTCGATTCCATTTTATAGTTGGAATGAATGGTTAAAGTTACCAGTGAAATATCCTGACCTGCCTAGGAATGCTCAGGTGGCTCTGACAATATGGGATGTATATGGACCTGGAAAAGCAGTCCCTGTAGGAGGGACAACAGTCTCACTCTTTGGAAAATATGGGTAAGTACTTTCTTTGCCTCACCCTCTGTTAGAATTTTGGCTCCCTTGTCATTGTCTTTGGAGAGGAATGGTGCTTTAAGGCCCAGCATGTGCCTTAGTTGCATGCATGCTGGGAAGTGGATTCAGGCTCAATGCATTTCCTCGTTATTCATGAGAATGAGAAATTACTGAGCCAGAGGTATGCCTCCTCCAGAGTGTCATTGTTTCCCATTTTCTCCTACTCAGGAGGGCTTTGGTTGCCATGGAAAAACAAATGCAAAACCCTATATTACCTTCTATGTCTTATTGACTGACAGCCCTTGAAAAACTGATAAACGGTCCTTTCTAATGGGCTAAAGAGATTTTGGCAGCAGTACTAACCACTTCTCTATATTTTCCCCACCCTAACTTTTTAGAGGTAAAACATTTTGCCTTTTTCAATCTTGGTGTAATCAGTAAGCTACCTATATCATACTGTGGTTCTTGCATTAGTACTTTGTTTCAAGATTTATTCATATTTATTTAGTGTCAAAGTAACCTTGGACAAATGATATTTTCATTTTTTAGGCAGAAAAGAGAAATAAGGGGAAGTGAAATGACCTGCCCATAGTCACAAATTAAGCCTTTGATAATTTATCCTCAGTTAATGTTTCTGGGGCTTCCACTAGGACATACAACAATATGCTAGAGGCAGAACTAAGTTTTTAAAAGTCTAGTCCATCTGCTGGACTTCAGTAATTCTCAGCCTCCTGTAATTTTCTTGGCTTTGACAAATATGTCTATATTTTTAGTTCATTTATTTATACATTTATATATATTTAGTTCATTTATCATAATTCACTTTCCTGGATATGAAATATTATGTGATATTTATTTTCTTTGTATCTTCCCCATGCCTCAATTCACTGATTCCTCTGTTAACATTTTATTGAAAAGAAAAACTACTTTATCTTCCAGTTAATTAAGCTAAAGCATTTTGTTATCCCATTTCAAGATGTTTCTAAAATATGAGAATGCATGATTTGTTTTTCATGGAAATGTAACAGCCACAAGAAATTCTATAGACATAATAGAAGTTAGTATAAGGCAAACTGAACCTACCTTTTACAGTGTTAAGTAAATTAAGTCATTGAGGCTTTCTAAGTCATCTGCCTTTGCTCTTGCCTGGCAAAGATAGTATGAACTGTTCCTAATGTTCCTACTAGGAGTCCTGAACACATCAAGCTATAGATGCAAATGATACCTTTTGGAGACTACATTAGTTCTGAAATATCTACATCACATTTCCTTCCCCTTTATATTCCCGACCCAGTGGGAATGGCATGCTCCTGTGTGACATTGTCACATATTGACATTGCTTTTGTGTGACATTGTGAAGTAGTGTGGATGCTGTCTCATGACCTAGTGCTACTTTGGGATTGATATTTAATTACAGTGGTCTGTAAAGGTTTGGGCAGCACAGTTTCTTTTAAAAGATGTTCCTAAAACATTCAGGACGCTATCAAACAATTGGACACTTAGAGAATATAGAAATATGCTATTTGCTGTTATTTATGTTACATATATGTGTCTGTGTGAGAGATATGTTGTATTTCTTTTTAAAAAGCTGGTTTCCGTTATTAATACTTATTTCTTCACAATTCAGCTACTTTGACTTTAGCAGTTTCTCTTCCATGACTGAGTGTCCAAGCCGAACCAGAGCTTCTCAGTGAACAGCTTAAGAATTACAATAATTTATCAAGATAAGGCCAGGATAACTTCTTTTCCCTGAATGTGAAATGATAGCTTGGAATGTCTCTAAGCAGCCAAAGAATAGATTGATCTTTCAGTTGAGTTGGCCTAGGACCAGAGGCAATCTGCAGAAGATTTCTCCTGCAGATGTTGCTTCGAAATGTGAATTTTGAAGTTAGAGCTGTTGCTACCATAGGACAACTTGGCACTAAGACTGGAGCAGCAGCAGCAGCTGTTGCTGGAGGCTGGGCCTGAGTCTGGAGGAGAGCCCGCCTGCTGTGCCCACTTTTCTGTCCTGCCTGGTAAACTTAATTTCCCAAATGGTCACATTGCTGTGTTCTTCTTCTGGTGTGCCACCTGGAAGCTGGGAAGCTCTGAGCTGAGGCTCCATTAGTGTCACAAGAATGGAGGTGATTTGAGTCGATCATTTTCAGTCAGTTGGCATAATCGCTTCCCCCTGCCTCACATATAGGTGACCCTTAAATCACTTGGTGAATCATTTTCCTCCTAAATATGCTTATTTCTTGTTCACTTGAGTTTAGCTAGTCAGACTACTCAGTGTTGGGAGCTCTTTGTTATTGCAGATACATTCTTTTTTATGTGGCGCTGATAGACTCTAATTTTCAGGTAGAATAGAGAATCATATTTATTGTATGCTATTGCAGAACAGCAAGGAAGTATCTATGTAAATAGCAGTTCTTTATTTTTTTTCCCTTTTTTTCAGATTTTACCTAAAGTTAAATATCCAGAGGTTAGAATCCAAAGGTCATCGTCACTACTTTCTATGTTGGACCTTTAAAGTCCCTGAGATCCAGTCACTATATAGTAGCCTTTGTGGGGCTAGACTTGGCTCTTTTTGTTGTGGAAATCACATGCTAGGTGCCCATTTGTTTTTAGAACTTGGCTACCTAAGGGCGTTATTACTTGAACACATTTTCACAACTAAAAGATTCCAAGGAAATCATTTTAGTCCTCTTTGGAAAATCCATAAGGAATCTATCTCTCTATTATAATGATAGTTAAAATGCGAAGCATGTGGTATATTATATGCATGGCAGGGTCTTTTATTTAAGAGAGGCAACATAGTTTAGTGGAAAGAGCACTGCATTTCAAGTCAGAAAACCCAGATTAGAATCTTGGCTTTGCTACCTATTAGGACAAGGCAGTTGGTTTTGCTGAAGCTTGGTATTCTTAACTGTAAAATGGGGATAAAATAATACCTGCCTGAACTAACTCACTGAGTATATAAATGAGACATTTTTCTTGTAGGAATAATAACCGATAGACACTCTTTTGGAAGTAGAAGAAAATAAATATAAATTATTTAATAGTATGTAACATATCATTTTTTAGGAGTATGCCTTTTTTTTTCAAAAGTACAAAATGTGAAAGTTTATAAGATGCCCTTGTTTAACCTACCTAGTATTTACAAGTGATTTGTGGAATAGGAATCATATATGTCCTAGAAGAAAATTTTTCTAGTCTTTTTTTAAGGTGAAATACATTTGTAGGCTGTCAATGGTTGAAAGGGAAAACAAACCAATATTAAGTTAGTGGTATAATATGGCAGCCTAATTTTCCAAAATCCTTTGAGTCCTGCTAGCTGGCTTATTCCATTGTTACAGTCTAGTTTTGAAGTAGCTTCCCAAATGGAAAATGATAATTAGAAGGGAGTAGGTATATTTCATTTTGGTATAATAATTCTAAGTTTGGTAGATACTTCATTGTTTTATTAGAACTGTGGCTTTGTCTCTACATCCCTTTGATAGGTGTAGAAAGCAAGCCATCTATAGCTTCATCCCTTTTGATTCTTGTCCATTATCATGTCCTTTGAGGATTTATGGAATGATACACTAGAAGGTTTCCTCTGGATCTTTTAATATTTTGTAGATATTAGTATTAATATTTGAGTTGTCTGTTATTCTTCACCCTTAACACATGAGTGGTACACAGGCTTTTCTAGTCATATGTTCCACCATTAGATTTAGGGTGAATTTTGATAAGAAGCACCGTCTTTTGTTTTGGGAGTTGGAATAAATACGTTCAAATCACCCCAATTACATGTTTATTTCCTTTAAAATGTTACCACTGTGATATTTCAGAAAGTTTGTGATTTCATCTGAATGGGTTTTTCCTCTGCTCGCAAAGATTGTGAAGCCTCTACATCTTAGTACATATTTTTTATCAGTTGCAGTAACTAAAAAAAAATCGTCACCTGATGGTCTGCCTTGGTGAATGCTTCCTTGAGGAAGGAGAAAAATAGCTATATATATTTAGTAAGAAGAATTAATTTTTTCATTAACAGCTACACATTAAGCACCTAATATTTTCAGAGTACTCTTATTTTTCAAGTTGAATTGCAAAAATAAGACAAGACCTGTATCCTCATGAACTTCAAATGTAGCGAATGCTCAAATACTTTGAATTTTCATTTCATCTCCTTTAACCATCATACTTTTTACATTGGGTAAAATATTGAACTGGATGACCATTGAAGGTCCTTCCTACTTTAAGGTGCTATAATTGTAGGGAAAGAACTGAGTTTGGAGTCCGAGAATCTGTTTTGAATCCCAGGTCTGTTTTCTGTGTGACCTAGAGCAAATCACCTGACTTCTTTGGGTCTTAATTTAACCATTTCTAAAAAGGGGAGGTTAGAATAGACTAGAGGATTTCTCTGTGATAAAATGCATATAGATGCCCCTTCTGCCACGTGTACACATGCATTCTCTTTAGTATTAGCCAAGCCTTTGGTTTTTAAATGAAATATCCATGCCCATAGAGGGGGAAAATGGCATGTGAAAAACTATGGCTGTTACATGATTTGTGATTGCTTTGTTAATTGCTTTACAACTCACTATGGACCTAAAAGCTTGGCAGTAGAGACACACTTTTTTCTCGGTGCTTAGGAATTTAAACTTTGCCATAATCATCTGCATTCATTTATTTCCTCTACTGATACATGCCCCTTTCCCTTAGCATGTTCCGCCAGGGAATGCACGACTTGAAAGTCTGGCCTAATGTTGAAGCAGATGGATCTGAACCTACAAAAACTCCTGGCAGGACAAGCAGCACTCTCTCAGAGGACCAGATGAGTCGATTAGCTAAGGTAAAGAAGAAATAATTAGAACAGGTGGGAAGCTCTTTACTATGTCTTGCTTAAAGGAGTATTATTAATTCTAAGACAGACTTCAAAATATAGGTAAATGTGGAAAAACTTTTGGTGATCAAGAGTTACATATTAGGGTCCTTTTTCTTATTTTACTGTACCTTTAAGGATGCAAATGTTCCAAATTTGATACCCATTTTGGTTTTAGAAGTTAGAGAAATGTCTCCCTTTTCCCTTCCAAATGTATTTTCTTAATCTAATAGTTAGATTCTAAATTACTTATAATAAGTTGTATACTTAATACTGCATCTCATAATTGCTATTTTTAAATTCCTCTCTAAACTTAGAGGGAGGGGATAAGTCCTTTCCAGCTTTGAGATTCTAGATTCTAAGTATGTGTATCCCAGCACCTGGCACAGCGTCTTGTACATAGAAGGAGTTTATTACTTGATGAAATGAATTTAAATCAAGCAAACTGAATAAATAATTTAAAATGTTTACTTCATGTATGCAAGGCACTGTGAACTAGGTGCTGTTTAAGGCCCTCTTGACTTTTGTTTGGGAAGAAAATTTCCACAGACTGATCTGCTAGCATGTTACTTTTACATCCTATCATTGGTATAGATGACTCTTTTTGTTTGGAGAAAGCTTCTATACCAGGTGGTGTTAAAGTAGTTTTTCATCCTGGTACTTCAAGGTTCATATGGAAGAAGCCTTAATCATGAAGAATGAGATCTTGAATTGGTTAGTATTTGTGCTTCATCTTGAAATTTTTGTTGACTACTCCACTTAATTGTGTTTCTCTTTTATGGAAAATGATACCATAGCCACCTAATGATTGAACATTTTATTTAATATACTGTTGTCAGCTTTAAAAATTTGGTTGTCAGCTTGCATGTTCAAGGCAAACATTTTGAGATTTTGTTTGTTCTTGAACAAGGGGGATAGAAAGTTCTTAAGCTGTAAACTTGTCCACCTTCTCTTCCAGTGATTTATCATGGCAATAAACTAACTTTTCATTTAATCTACTCTATGTGTCTTTTATCAAGCTAGCTAACCTTGAGTTTCTAATAGAAAACTCATTAGAATCTGCTCCTTTATTACCTTCAGCCACTGTAATGTGGACAAGGTTGAATCTCAAGTACAATATGGGTATAGTGTATGTTGAAACAAAACCTCTTAAATTGTTTCTAGAGATCAGCACTATGATCCATGTTATGAGTAAAGTTCTAAATCTCAGGTCTTTGAGGGGAAAAGGACAAGGAAGAGAAAGAGACTGTTCTATAATTGCCCCATTAATACATTTTGTTTCTATATGAAAAGAATTATTTAGGCTCTCGTATGAAATGTTCCTAATTATTTTTGATGAAAAGATCTGTACTAATTTATTATAACAGCCAGCAATGTGACTTTTTCCCCAACTCCGTTTGCAGAATGCAAGTGTTTATGTTTCTGCTATGGTGCTATTGTGTGTTTATTTATTTATTTATGTTTTTGGAGTTGTGTTAAAATGTGACCAGACTTCAGAATTTTGACTCTCTTTCTAAAGTTTCTTAACATTTTAATACTTAGCAATATTCTTATTTTTATATGTTTGGTATATTAGAATTCTTATAAATTGTGTGTGTGTGTGTGTGTGTGTGTGTGTGTGAGAGAGAGAGAGAGAGAGAGAGAGAGAGACAGAGAGAGACAGAGACAGAGAGAGACAGAGACAGAGAGAGACAGAGACAGAGAGAACTGGCTAGCTGGAGACTTCTGGGGGAAGTCTACCGATGTTTCATTAAGTAATAAATCTTATACACCTCATTTGCTCAGTCTATAAATAGGAATGAATACATATACACACACACACACTCACACACACACACAATTTCTGGTGCTGATTGGAGTCATGTACTTGCCAATATATCTTGTCCCTACTAGTAATATGCTTTTTTAAAATTTCTAAACTGATTGAAGACTTCAGATTATGCTGTGCTGTTATACCCTTCATTACTATTAAGTGATGTCCTCTAGAAACTAAAATGAAACTATCAAAACCAATAATTACTTCTTTAGGGAAAAAAAAAATGCTTCATGAATGCAGTGCTGCTGAAAGTCTTGCTCTCTTTCTCTTTGAGGAATATTTCTTGGTATTTTTGACCAGCTGTTTCATTGGTTCTTAAACGCAGGACTTGATCATGCTCTCTGAGGTTTTAGAGAGACAAAATTTCTCCTTTCCTAGAAAAAGTTGTTTTCAAAAATAATTTTCTTTGGTTAAAATCAATATATAGAGCTTTATTCACAATTTTCACTATGCCTTTAAATATATTATCTTGTTTGATTTTCACAATAAACCTGTCAGGCAAGTATTAGTACTGAACTTGTAATTAGGAAGTCTTAGTTGATGTTGCCACTACCTCTACTACTACCACCAATAGTGAGAACTTTTATAGTGCTTTAAAGTTTGTGAAACACTTTTCCAAATGGGGAAACCAAGGTTGGCAGAGGCTAAGTGACTTGCTCAGGGTCATATAGCTGGTTATTATCTGAGGCTGGATTTGTACTCAGGTCTTTCTAACTCTGTGACTCTAATTTTCCTTTCAGAAAAGTGTTTATTAGACAGTCAGTCAGACAGTCGGTATATTCAGATTCTTGGTGGTTTTGCGAATTCGTCTAACTAACCATATTGAAAAATAATTTGGAAATATACAAGAAAAGTCCCCAGATTGCTTATCTTTGACCCAACCATACTGTGCATATATCCCAAGGAGAGCAGTGGCAAAAAAAAAAGAAGAGTCCAACACATGAGCACTCATGGTGGGAGCCAAAAAAAACCAAAACAAAACAGAGTGAGTGCCCATTAGTTGGGAAATGGCTAAGCAAAACGTAGTATATGACTCATCAAGTATCATTGTACCATAAGAAACCAGAACCAACACTAACATATAAACTCAAAATGATTGCAGTAACCAATCTTGGTTCCAGGGAGAGGAGGAGAAATCATGCCTTCATCATCTTGGTAGAGGGGTAGGCACTGTGGATGTGGAATGATTTACAGTCAATTTTTCATTTGGGTTTTGCTAAGATTTTTATGATACAAGAGAAGATTCAGCAGGGGAGAGGTATCATTGGAAAACTATTCTGATATTTAAAAAAATGAACTAAACTTACTGACAGGAAAAACAAACTCATATAATCATCCTTGAATTCTGCCATTGTCCTACTGCCAATTTTTATCTATTTTTGGGAGCTTTTGCCTGCTGGTAAATATGGTTTGATAGCTCTATGTATGCTTTTAGCTCTGTCCAATTTTCCATTAAAGGATTACTTTTTCTGATATGATTGTCAAAACCTTTTCCTGAGTATTAAACTCTACATGTCCAAAATGAAAGTCATACTATTTGCTGCCAAATTTATCCCTTTTCCAGCTTTCCCCATTTCTTTTGATAGCACTATCATTTTAGTAGTCCAGATTACAACCTTTGAGTCAACCTTGATTTATTTTTCCTCCTCAGCTCCCATATCTAATGAGTGGCCAAATCTTGTTGTTTCTACTTCCACATGTGTGCGCTCTCTCTGTCTCAACCATTTTCTTCTCTTCACCCACACAGCCTGTATCCTTGTTCAGAGACTTTTAGTTCAACTTCTGGGAGTCTTTCTGTCTTTCTTTTTGCAGATTTGTGATTTTCCTTTTCATAAAAATTTTTGGTGTTTACATCAGGGAGAATCTGATTTATTAAGTGAATTATATTACAGTGTATATTATCTTAGTTTCTGGCTGTAATGAATATAATTGCGTTTTAGAGTACATTGGTAAATTCCTGAAGTTGTTTCAGTTAACTTAGTAACTTAGGTGTGTTTTCCTTGGGAAAATACCCTTCATTGTGACCTTTAGATTTGATGCAGTCAATGGCTTTGTGTGGAAGAACAGTAGAATTGTTCTACCATAAAGCTAGATCTTCATTACTGGTTTGGGGAGTAGCACTAGAGTATTACCTGTGGCAAAATTATATATAACCAACATATTTATGTATTGTAGGATTTGGCTGTCTTGGTCTGTGTGTAGAATGGACTAATCAAATAACTCACATAAAACTCAAAGTGTTCTCATTGCTTTGGTACTTCCCTTCAGGATGTAAATCAGAACCCACCCATGTCTGCCTGACTCATGTGACTTTTGTCCATGTTCTTCCAAAAGTTTGCCTTTGGGAGGCTGACAGTACTAGTAGGTTACTCAGAACGTATCTTTCCATGTGACCAGACCATCTTTTCTTCCCAACATACAATTCCTTGATGATATCCTTAATGCCAGTTCTTTTAGAGTTAGCCTTGGTAACATTGTAGCCTATTCATGTCCACCATTCACCCTGCTTGTCCTCTTGAGAGGCTGCTCTTGAGGGTATTGGAGACAGTGGTGTGTTATTCCATATTTTACTGCCATAAACAGCACCAGTAAAATGTAAGTATTGAAAAGATGGATGGGTCTTTGCTTTCATGGGAAGTTTGGGTCAGTAAAAAGGAAGCGGCATCATCATCTACATGAAAAAAGCATCGCAGAGCTATAGGGTTGCCTAAATTTTATACTATGTATAGTTTTTATTAATTTGGACTATTTGATTTGGTTTTTGCTTGCTATTTGAGTAATGATGGACATTAGAGAATCCTTTGGAAGCAGTTTATACCTAATGCTATATGGTCGAATCTTTATCAGTAACTATTGAATCGTTTACTGTTGTCTAAGGCTGTCAAAAACTTTTGGTTCTGTCTTGAGACCTACTATCACAAGTGGACTAAATTAATTTTTGCCATCTTCAGATTGAGCCCTAAAAGCTTATTGATTTATGTTCTAATCTTATTACACGAACCAACATCAACATCTATCTATAGGGCTGGCCCTAGATATCTCCACTTTCATGAACATATACTTTAAATTCTTTTGAGAAGATAGGGACAGGAAGAAGAAACTAATTTTCTGAATCACATAGTAATAGACTTTTGGGGCTACATGAAACTCAGACATTGTTTTGTGCAGTTGAAGGTCTAGGTTGTAAGCCTACTGAGTAGTATTTTTGGGGTGTTTGTGTGTGTGTGTTTGTGGATGTGTTTTTGTAGATGTACACAGTAAAAGCACAGTTATCTCAGTATTTCATATAGAATTCTTGCTTATTCTTCCCTCACAGAGCTGTGTCAAAAAGGGGCCAAACTTAAGAGGAAACATTTTACATTTATTTAGTGATAGAGTCATATTTACAGGTGTCAATAAGCAGTTTTCTTTTTTAGTTCTTAATACTCATTTATTTATTTTTTAGATACTTATTAAATACTTGTCTGACAAGAAAAGATGTGGTGTACTAGAAAAAGCACCAATCTAGTAATCAGGATATCTAGATTCATAGTGCTTACTGCACTAGTGGATAGTTCTCTAACCATGACCAAGGGGCTTAACATTCTGAGCCTCATGGATAACTCATAATTCATAGAGTTGCACGTGGGAAGGGTGGGACTTCAGAAGCCATCTAGTACAACTCTCATATTTATAGATAAGGAAATTGAGGCCCAGAGTACTTACGTGACTTGCCCAGAGTCACAAGTGGTCTGGTTATTCTGACTTCATATTTTCTACATATCCTGTGTTTGGGAGGATGAAGTAAAGTAATGGAAATATTTGAAAAATTCTTTCAAAATGTTAAAATGTCTATAAACATAAGGGATTATTTATCCATTAAAACTCTTCCCTTTTGTGTTTTTGTCTCCCTCATCTATCACTACTCTACTTTTCCAGTATATGCTTATTTTGTAGGTACTATTTTTTGGCCCTTTGTGGAGTAGAGTGCAGATTTGATACTCTTTCCCTCCCTCCCCCTGCCCCTTGAAAATGTGTCTGCCCTCCCATTAAATCTGATAATACATGATTAGTTCCCCAAGCAGTTTCGTGGACATGTTATTATTTGATTCTTAGGGATTCTTTCGATTTAATAGCTTTTCAGACCCCATACTGTTTAATTCTTGGAGACTTCAGGGATGGAGGCTCAATAATTATGCCATTATTTCTGTGACAGTATGCTGCCCTTCAGTGCTTTGTATTATGACTGTTTGTGAATTCCATAGAAATAAATCCCTGGGCCTAGAAAGAAAAGAATGAAGCATTTGCTACTTTCTTGACCTGTCTCTTTCTTGGGATAGGCACCCTAGTGAGGATTACTTCTTCAGAACCAATTTCAAAACAGATTGTAGTGCTGTTACCCTGCTGTTTAACAGAATGCATATTTTCTATCTGGAAAGATCTAGGTCACTGACATTTCTAATTTATAAAGAAATACAAGCTGTCATGACAGAAATAAATCACACATCATCATTCTTTCATGAGTTTTACTTTTGGTGGTAACCTTTAATTTTTATGGAAAGATGACTCAGCTGGAGATGACCAGTGCCTATTCCAAATTTGAACGAAATTTTTATCATAACTCTTTTGGGCAAGCTTGGCAGTGTGCTCAGTGAGATCAAAGAAGACATATAAACCTTGATATGTGTACATTTTTTGTACTTTTTACTTTTTTTTAACTTTTTTTTTTTTTGGCTAGGCAATGGGGTTAAGTGACTTGCCCAGGGTCACACAGCTAGTAAGTGTTATGTTTCTGAGGCCGGCTTTGAACTCAGGTCTTCTGAATCCAGGGCCAGTGCTCTATGCACTGCGCCACCTAGCTGCCCCATACTTTTACTTTTTAAAATATTTAAAGTATCCATTATCCCATTTGACTTGAACTTCACAACAGTTCTGTGAAATAGGGGACATATTTTTTATATCCATTTTACCTATTGGAAAACTTTAATACCGAGAGAGGTTAAGTGACTCGCCTAAAAATCCCATAGTCATTGGTGAAGTTAGCACTATAATAAGTCTTGACCTCCTAGTCCATTGTTCTTTTCTTGATTCAATTTAATTTAATAAGTGTTTATTGACAGCCTCCTATGTGTAAGGTACCATGTTAGGCAATATAGGGGTTATAAAGATGAGTAAAATAATCTCTTTACTTAGAGGACTTAGAGAATTTTGTAAGATAAATGCATACATACTTTTAGTATAGGATAGAGTGTAATAAGTTCCATAGTAGGTGGACATTCAGGGGGAACAGCACAAGTAAAGGCTTGGAGGGGGGTAGGTCAGGACAGTGACTTAATCTGGTTTAATTGGAATGAATTGCATGTGAAAAGGGGAAAAAAAGGTCATATTATGGAGGGCCTTTAATGTAAAGGTTTTTGTTTTGGGTTTTGGTTTTGCATCCCCTAAATGTTTCTGTGTCCCTTTCCTTCCCCACCTCCCAGAGAGCTATGATATAAAACACATAAACTTTAAAGAAAAAAGAGAAAGAAGAGGAAAAAAAATTAGCAGAACTGACCAGTAACTGAAAAATTCTTAAAATTCTTAAAACCAGTGCACTTTTCAAGGAGATCCCTTGATCTCCTCCATCTGCAAAGGAGTAGGGGGAGGTATCTTTTCATCTCTCTTCTTTGAGGCTGTGCTTATTTTTTGTTAATGTGGTGACGTTCATTGTTTGTAGCTATTGTTCTTTACAATTTTCATTACTGTAGTCATTGTATGTATTGTTTTCTTGGCTTTGCTTCACTTTGAACGTTTGATGAAGTCTTTCCATATTTTTCTGTATTCTTCATATTTCTCATTTCTTAAGTCTCAGCAACACTCCATTATGTCTGTGTACCACAGTTTGTTTAGCCATTCCTCAGTCAGTGGGGATCTGCTTTGTTTCTAGTTCTTTGCTACCATAAAAACTGTTGCAATAAATATTTTGATGTATGTGAGGTTTTTTTCCTTTTTATCAGTGACTTCCTTGAGATACATGCCTAGTAGTGGAATCTATGAGCCAAATGCCATGGGCATTTTAGTTACTTTATTTGTGTAATTCCTACTTCCTTTTCAAAATGTTCCGGCTTATTCTTTCCCAGAATCTCAGTTTTCTCCATTTAAAAAAATTACGTTTCTTTTAAAATGCTTTCTTTTTCTTTTATAGCTCACCAAGGCTCATCGACAGGGCCACATGGTCAAAGTGGATTGGCTGGATAGATTGACATTTAGAGAAATAGAAATGATTAATGAGGTGAGTCATCCTCCTTATATTCTTATTAATATGTAACTTGTTAATTAAATCTTAAACAACAAAAGCAATTAAACTTTATTTCTTATGTTTAAAATATGTATGGTTGTGTGTATATAAATACAGATATACACAAATGTAAGTGTGTATGTGTCTTTATACACATATACACACTTTTTTTCTTGCATATCTTTTCATGAAAGTTTAGGGCTAAGCAGCTTGCATTCATAGTAGATTGTATCTTATTTTCAAAATATGTTTTTTGATGGTTTTTCTATTCATGCATCTTTTAGGAGAGTGGGGTCTTGGGTAGCTGGGCATCCTGCATACGTGAGGATGTCCTATGTTGTCCTTTTAGAACTTGGTACCTGGAAAACTTTGTGGGACACCTGTGACTTCTCTGACTTTAGAACCAAGAAGAGGACAGTATATGTCATAGGTATCTCACATCACAGAAATTTCTGTAAAGTTTAGTATTTGTATCCTACTTACTCGTTTGCATTCTAAATAAGCTTAGATTACTATCGTTGTCTTCATGGTCCTACTCACTTCAGACACTTTGATCCAACTTTAGAATCCTTACTGTTCAAATAAGATGCTGCCTGTTTTCTAGACTATTTACAGAAATCTAACAGTTCTTAAAATATTACAAAGACGATGTGCATATGAGTATGGAGTGGAAAAGTCTTATCAAAGGATGGAATTAGTGCAGTTATTTTCAGAAGTTTCAGCATATTTACTTTTGAATGTGATGTTTCCATGTACCAGATGTTAAGCCTAACATTTTGTGTCTAGAGAATGAAAATAACAATTATATTAATCAAATTAGGAGGGAGGAATATCAGTTTTGTAATATGGCCTAGCCCATAATGAGCACCACAGGGTACAGACAGACTTAATTTGGAGTCTCTGAGCAGTTAGATCATTGTATGCAAAAGGAGAAGGTAGTGGCTTTAAGTGTTCTTTTTCTTAAAATGAACTCTTATAAAGGGTTTTTTTTTTCTGTTAGCTGATTCAGTTGTCTGTTTTACTCCAAGGTCACTATTGTAATTTTTTTCAAGTAACTATGGTGTCAGATGTTACTTATTTGGAATTTGAGAATAGGGAATTCTTTTTCCTAATCATTTTGAAAATTTACTAGCAATAGACTTTTTGTGAAAACTAATTTGGAATAAATGTTGCATTCTTATTAAATACCAAGCCCATTTAAAATTTAGTAAAATTATTTATTTTCAGTTTTCTCTGTGTTTTTAAATGTTGAATTTAGCAATTCCTATTTTCTTATTTTTCTTTATTCAGGTTGCTTACCTACAAATACTCTTTTATACATAGTTAGCTTTGAGTCAGTAGGCTTTCCTAAACTAATACTCAATTTCACATTTAGAAATACCTCTGTGATTGAACAGTTAAATATCTTTACTTTAAATGACTGTTTTTACTATAGGAAACACAAGTTTTCTTTGTGTCAGTATTTATGTAAAATAGCTGCAAAGTGAGATTTGGGAAAGAAGTTGTTAGAACAACAGACAATAAATGTTTTGATGCATGTGGTAATATAAATAAAAATTATAATCTCACCAGGAAGTATTTTTTTACTTGACATCCTGATCTTTACTCTATATTAATGCAAATTATAAAGCTGTCAACCTTTAATTTGTAGAGTTTCTCTTTTTTTATAGAGTGAAAAACGAAGTTCTAATTTTATGTACCTAATGGTTGAGTTTCGATGTGTCAAATGTGAAGATAAGGAATATGGCATAGTTTACTATGAGAAGGTATGTGCCTTAGACCTATTTATGGCCTCTTTAAAACAGATAGAAGGAAAGCATTAAAAAAAATTAGTGACATTCCTGCTGAGATGAATTATTTGGTTGCAAGACAGCAGCAGACAGCTGTCATCAACAGCTGTTTATGTACATACAAATCAAATGGTATAGCTACAACAAGATTACAAAAGCCAATCATTCATGTAATGCAGTTCTAGATTACAGAATTCAATAAGAATGCAAGTGATTAAAACTTTTTGATTTATTGTTCTTCAGATTGGCAAGGAAGACGTCAGCATACTCATAAAATTAAATGCTAATGATTCATTAGTTTTTTTGTATAGTAAATTTAATGAGAACAAGGGACCATTTAAAATTTTATTTTGTTCTGTTATGGAAAATAATTTTTCTTCACCTTTTAGTGAATTTTATTGATATACCTTTATGTACTCCACAAAATTTCTGTCTAGGTAGAAATGTGTCCAAACTTTTAAAATAGCTAATGTTATAACACTGTTAATATTGTACTGCTACAGTTATGAAAAAATGCAGAAAATGTTACAATGTATTCTGCTTTAGAAATGACAAGTTAATTGTATGATTTAATATTTTTTTTCCTTAAGCTTTTATGAATGGTGGTTTTCTTTTCCAAATTCTTTAATAGATTTTTGTGATGTAAAGCCAGGAAAGATGGTGGGGTTTTTATTTTTGTTTTTGTTTTTGTTAGCTCGTGACCATTTTTGGTGATGCTTTGGAATTAAAATCATATGTTTTATTTCTCTTTTCATTCTGTTTTATGGTTTATTTTTGCTCTGTATATTCCTGCTTTTAAGTTAAAGATTCCAAGTAATGGACCCATTTGAATTCTTCTGTAAATGATAGTTGGGATAAAATAAGATAAAGTGGTTAATATTTAATGTTTTATAAACAAATTACACACTAAAGAGTGAAATGTTAAAATGATACTAACTCATCAGCATTACATGATAATGTCACGTACCCATATACTTATTATACTCTGTATAATTAGATTTGAACAATAAATTTCTTGATCTCATGGGGCTTGTGGTCTAAGCAAAGGTAATGAGAATAATATGGTTACACATATGTGGAGAAATTGGGGCAAAGTTCTACATTTACTTAAAATAATTTAATATTTGATAATAGAGTAGCTTAAAAAAGAAATTAAAAGAATTTCTAGGGTTATTTTTTGAAAGTGTCCTTTAACAAGTTCTTGACCCCTTTCTACTGCTCCCTGAAAATTGCTCTTAAATTAGTGACTGTCTACCCAGGCTGTCATACTTCTACTTAGTGTAAAGATTGCTGGTCCAGTGTATTGAATCTAATGGAAATAGACTTTCTTGTCATCTGTCTTTTGTGACAGATAGTCTAAGTGAAGATTACTTGTCACAGTTGGGTTGATAAATGTGTTTTCTGTTGTTGTGACCGAAAACCAGCCTGTTAAACAATAGCTACAGGAATTTGTGGCTTTCTGTAAGACTCAATTACTGTACTGAAGTCAAACTATAATAGTTCTCTTTTTCAGCTTTTCCCAATTTTATTTCAGTCTGTTTAAAGAGGAAAATATATCAATATTTGGAAATTTAATGTGAATAGCTTGGCGTAAACTTCAGAATTGTTCACAAATAACTCTTATCTTAAGACCATTGCTCCTTCATGTGGACATAGTGTTTATTATGACTATCTTGTGTTAAAGATAATTTTTTTCTTTAGAATTAATTCATAAATTCTTATCATTAAGATTTACATACTGTCTAGTCAATTTTGCCTTGAAGAGTTGTACTGCTGAATCTTGAACAACGTATAGATTCGTAGCCATGTGAAATCAGCCACCCCTGTAAGAAGGTCTTGCTCCTCGAGTGAACCTCATGTGGTGTCGTACTTTCTTTTTATTTCCTTGAACTCACCATATCTACTTGGTAATTTTTTCAGATAAATATAATGAAGTCAGCATGTCATTTTATGAAAGTTCCAGAAATAAATAAAATACCATTGCCCATGGATCTCCACTCTCTAAAATCTGTTGCAAATTTTGATCATTTGGCTTTGATTTTTCCTTAAATCAGTACCTTGTCCCTATGGCTCCCAAGAGGGGGGGGCATATTATATCTTTTTCTTAGAAGGCTTCTTATTGAAATACAGGTATTTTCGTAATCATCTACAAAAAATATGACATAATTGGGCCAAAACTCATTTATTATTCTTCACTATTTCTAGAACATTTTAAAGTGCTATTTTTTTTCTTTCCTTCATTCTTGTATTTTCTCCCTCCTTCCTTTGGCCTCTAGGATGGTGATGAGTCATCTCCAATTTTAACCAGTTTTGAGATAGTGAAAGTGCCTGACCCCCAGATGTCTATGGTGAGTTACAAGGCAGTTATAATGTGTTTCCTGGAATGGTGCTTTTTTACCTCATGCTGTTTTCAAAATATATGGCTATACCACTCTTGCCTTGAGTCCACTTAGGTGGCAGTCTCAACTATATTAGAATACCCAAATAAGTGGTTGAAGAAACTAAGGAGGATAAGAAAAATTTAAGCAGGTGTTATCTCTTTTAAATATTTGAAGGGCAGTTATGAAATAGAAATTGACTTTATTCTTCATAGCTGCAGAGAGCAGAATTCAGTCCACTACAGTAGAAGCAAAGCAATGTATAGAAGATTTTCACTCCACGGAAGGAAAATTGACAAGAAATTAGAGTTTTCCAGGGATGAAACGAACTTCTTCACAAGGTAGTGAAACTCCCTGTTAGAAATTTTGTTCAGAGAATTGGATCTATTACAAGTATTTTAGAGTGGATTCTTGCTTTGGATGGAAAATTAGATGATTTTAGAGAATCATGTCAACTGTAAGCCTCTCTGATTCTATGTAGGGAAAAAAGTATCTTAGCAGAAGCCAACATATAGATGTTACAAAGCCCATACACTAAACCTTATGTGCTTTTGTCATAGGACAGACCCTTACTCAGAGCTGGTTTAATTATAAGCACCGAATTATAAAGGAGTAGGTGGGGCTGTAGGCAGGCACATTTGCAGGAGCAAGAAATCACAACTGACAACTTGATAGTAATATTGAAGAACAAAAAAAAAAGCCCCCAAAACTATAAAAAGCAGACATGAACTAAGAAAAGAATAGCTCTCTTAGGGACATATAATGTAGAAGCAAACTACCCTATATATTTCAATAGCCCCTCAGGGTATAACTGTATTACAGCACAGTACAATAATTGATGTTCATAGTAATGACCCTGAGTCATCAAAAAAAAAAAGCTTAAATTACGTTCAGTATACTCTGCTTAGGGAGTCAGGGAAGTGTGTAATCTGTATTAGAAAAGTTACTATCCAAAATGTTTAAAAGAAAATAAGATCTGACATTTAAAGGGGGAAACTATAATTTACTTTTGTGAAGCCTCTTTCTTACCTGTGCCTGGCAATTCAATTTCACAATTTCACTGTGTGTGTGTGTGTGTGTGTGTGTGTGTGTGTGTGTGTGTGTGTATATCTATCTGTATCTGTTCTTTTGCTATTATTTTCTATTGTGTTTCCAGAATAGCAACTAGGTCTTCATATTAAGTTACTATTAGCTTTCAGATTATAAGTATATGTCTTCCTTCATCCCTCACCCTTCCTACCTTAGAGAATATCCCCTGTTAAGTATTTTTGTATTGATTTCCTTTTGGATTTTTAAAACACAGAGTATCCTAAGAGGCTTGATGTGGTTTTAAGCTTTAATAGCACCAACATTTTTACAATACCTTGAATGTTAATTTAGTTCATAATCAAGGTCAGTGGATTAACAAATAAATCTTCCAACAGGTGATTATAATTATGGGTGTTCCAGGAATTGAATCATTTAGAGTAAGAGGGAATATGTATGGGTACACAGGGAAGAAGAGTAGGTGTTTGAACTCTGGGTTTCTTAGGGTAGAATTGTACTCTTTATCATCGATAGTGAAAATCATTTACTAGAGAAATACTCACACAAAGCTGTATTCTTATGCCTCATTGTAGTTTGGAGGCCACCCTGGACTGCAAGCTCCTTGAGAGCAAGAACTGGTTTTTTTTTAAATTATTAATCTTTGTGCCTCCAGAACTTGGTACAGTGCCTAACACACAATTGTTGCTTAATAAGTGCTTCATGACTGACTGATTGAAGTATTTGAAGATCTGTTACGTGGAGGAAGGGCTAGACTTGTCCTGTTTCCCCAGAGGCAGTACCTAGTACCTAAACCAGGAGGTAGAAATTAAAGAGCCTAAATTGCAATTTAAACTCAATATCAGGGAAACTTCCTGATGAGTTAGACCTATATAAAAGAGAAATTACCTTGAGAGGTGGTAGCTTCCCTTTACTTGGAGATCTTCAGGCAGAGGCTGAATTAGTTCAGTTTTAGGGGGGAAGTTTTTTGTGTATTGATTGAACTAGATGAATCCCGTACTCCCTTTTAGTTCTAAAATTCTATGCTACTGTAAATCTGGAAGTAGCGTGGAAGCCTGGTTCAAATCCCAGACCTGCTGTTTGCTAGCCATGGGACTTTGGATACATAATTTAATCTCTTTAATCCTCAGTTCCCTCATATGTGGAATGTGTTTAGACTGAATAAGCTCTGTTTCCTTTTAGCTATATCATTCTGTGTTTAGTAATTTATAATTTTCTTCTCAGTTTTCCCTATTTTCAAGTTGATAATGCATATTTAATGAGTACATTAAATTAAAGACTAAAGGAATATAGAATATAAAATACCATATTCCTATAAAATTGTCATACTTTTGATAAATTGTTCTCTTTGCAACTTGGTTATTAAAACTTATACATTCTTAATAATAATTTAAACTTATTTGTAGGAGAATTTAGTTGAAAGCAAGCATCACAAGCTTGCCCGAAGTTTAAGAAGTGGACCATCTGACCATGATCTCAAACCTAATGCTGCCACTAGAGATCAGCTAAATGTAAGTTAATGTTGATTTTATTATGTGCTAGTTAATATTTTATACCTTTTGTTAGTATTGAATTTTTTTTTGTTTGTTTGGCAAGGCAATTGGGGTTAAGTGACTTGCCCAGTGTCACACAGCTAGTAAGTGTCAAGTGTTTGGGCTCAGACCAAATTTGAACTCAGGTCCTCCTGACTCCAGGGCTAGTGCTGTATCTATTGCGCCACCTAGCTGCCCAGTATTGAATTTTTTACAGAGAATCTAAAAAATTAAAGTGATTCTTAGATAACATTTCTCATATTAAGTGTAGTTGTAGTATCCTAGCCAACTTTTTTAGTTTCTCTTTTATTTTCTCTCTGCCTCCTAGATCATTTTTGAAGGTTCATTGAATTGGAGGTCCATGAAGATGGAACCTGTACTTGGTTCTTTCTCTAATACTGAAAAATATTCCTGAATATTTTTCCTCATTATGAAAAAAAAGCCTCACTTTTTGGTGGATTGTTCCGAAGCATGCATATGTATTCTTTTGAATGAATGAGTGAAGGCTTTGAGAACTCTCTAAAGAGCAGAGTATATATTCCAAGCAGCAAAAGATCAGGGGTTACCTGTACTTATTTATCTTACAAATGAGCTTTGTGAAACCAAAGAGACATTTGCGTATAGTAAGTTACTGTTGGAATCAGGTTTGCATCCTACCTCTATAACCTACCTCTATGTTAGTCATTTCACCGTTTTGGCCTTAGTTCACTAATTTGTAAAATGAGGTTAAACAAGATAATCCTTATGGTTCCTTCTAGCTTTGTATTAATCCGTATCAATCTCTGATTCTTATAAATGTGAGGGAAATATTTGAATCTTATATGCTTGTGTATCTTCCTTATTTTGGGAGGTATTTATTCAAAGAGTTTATATTTAAGGTAAAAAAAAATCTGAGATCCAGCTTTTAACAAACAAAATACATTTCATTATTTTTAATAGATTATAGTTAGTTATCCACCCACGAAGCAGCTTACATATGAAGAACAAGATCTTGTTTGGAAGTTTAGATATTACCTTACTAATCAAGAAAAGGTAAGCTTCATGTCTGTTTGTTTCTGTACCAAGTAATATAAAAATTCTTAAAACTTCTGTGGAACGCACAATTTCTCATAAGGCAAAATTAAAATTAAGTGTACTAACTATTCAGTTGTATTAAAGTTAACACTTAATGTAAAGTTAAGTAACAATGATTAAGAGCTAGGCTCCGAGAAAGAGCTTAAAGAATGGGCTAAATAAATTATTAATGCTAATAAATTGTACTAACTTTATCCCTTCCCCATGCCCACTGGCTGTTTCTCCTTATGTTACTATACTGTTCTCCCTAAACCTTGACATTGGGCCTCTTTCTCTTCCTCCTCTGTATTTTTTTACTTGATAATCTTATCTTTTCTAGTGGATTCAATTATCATCTCTATGCTGACAATTCTCAAATCTGTTTATCTAATCCTACCCTCCTTGGCTGACCTCTAGTCTCACGTCTCCACCTAATATAGAACTCTCTAAGACATCTAATATAGATGTCTTAAACTCAGCATGTCCAAAACTGAGCTCATTATTTTTTATCTCAGACTCTCCCCACTTCCAAACTTTCCTTTCTTTGCCAAGGACATTTACCATCTTTCCATTCCCCCAGGCTCACAACCTAGGTGTCATCCTTGACTCCTCATTTTCATCCTCCATATCCCAACTGTCAGTTTCACCTTAGTACCATCTCTTGAGTATGTTCCCTTCTCTCCTCTGATACTGCCACCATCCTTGTGCAGGATTTCATCATCTCATTCCTGGACTATTTCAGTAGGCTTTGGTTGGTCTGCCTGCCACAGGTCTTTGTTCACGTCAGGCTATCCTCCACAGTGCTATCAGAGTGATTATCTTTAAGTGCAGATCTGACAAGTCACCCTCCCCTGCTTTCCAGTGGCTCTGATCTACAGAATCAAATATAAAATCCTCTGACTTTCAAAATCCTTTATAACATAGCTCCTCTCATTAACATCCCCCAACATGCCAGGCTTCTTATACCTTATACAGCTCTTCTTCCCCCTGCTGCTATACAACATACTCTTTCTTTCCTTTCTTTCTTTTTATTTTTTGCAAGGCAATGGGGTGAAGTGACTTGCCCAGGGTCACAACAGCTAGTAAGTGTCAAGTATCTGAGGCCAAATTTGAACACAGGTCTTCCTGAATCCAGTGCTGGTACTCTGGCTGCCCCCCAAAATGCATTTTCAACCAGTGATGCTTCTTTTCTTGCTATTCCTGGAATAAGATATTTCATCTCTATACATTGGGTGTTTTCCCTGGCTGTCCCTCATGCCTGGGATTTTCTCCCTCTTTATCTTTGCCTCCTAACTTCCCTGTCTTCTTCCAGGTCTCAGCTAAAATTTCACATTGTACAGGAAGCTTGTCCTGATTCCTCTTAATTCTAGTGCCTACCTTTATTGATTATTTCCAATTTATCCTGTATGTAGCTTGTTTGTACATAATTACTTGCATGTTGTCTCTCACATTAAGCTCTGAGCTCCTTAAAAGCAAGGATTGTCTTTTGCCTTTTTTTCCTTTTTTTTTTCATCCCCAGAACTTATCACAATGCGTGGCATAAAATAGTTCCTTAATCAAATGTTTGTTGACTAACTGACTGTAATCTCTTTGATTTGTAGCCAGTTCTATTTATTCAACTTTCTTCCTGCCTGTCTTGTTTTTTCCCTTGTTTCCATTTCATTGCAGTTATGTTAAGTACTGCCTTTAGCATTTGCTTAAAGTATTATAATAGACTGTTAACTGGTTCCCCTCCCTTTGGTCTCCTTAAATGCTTGAATTTATCTTCCTGATTGTGGGTTTGTAGTTTGGCAGGTTTAAGAAGTTATTGTGCAAGGCACCCATTTTGGGTGTTTGTTTTGCTAGCTAATGGCTACGTAATACCTTTTTGGGGGATTCCAAACCTCAGTAGTCCTGTCAATGACAGAAAATGAGTCAGTTTTCTTAGAATTTATGGGGCACAAGTGCTAGATGGCTGCTGAGACTCAGGGAAAGACTAATAATGTCTTGACTTTTAGGTCCTGAGCCTTGTCAGTCCAAGAGGCAAAAGGTGAGAGAAGTGAGCAGAGTCCAGTAAGTGAAAGGGTTGGAAAATTAAAAAACAGTATGGTAGAAATTAGGTATAGACCAACATCTCACACCTTATACCAAGATAAGGTCAAAATAGGTACTGATTTACTCATAAGTGGTGATACATAGGCAGATTAAGAGAGCATAGAATTGTTCATCTTTTGGATTTATGGGTAAGGGAAGAATTTAGGACCAAAAAAGATATAGAGAACATTATAAAATGTAAGATAATTTTGATTTTATAAAATTAAAACGTTTTTACACGAATAAAACCAATGCACCAAAATTAAAAGGAAAGCAGAAAACTGGGGAAGAAATTTTTGCAACAAGTATCTCTGATAAAGCCCTTATTTCTCATATAGAGAACTGAGTCAGATTTATAAAAATACAAGTCATTCCCCCTTTGATAAATGTTCAAAGGATATGAACAGTTTTCAGACAAAGAAATCAAAGCTATCTATAGTCATATGAAAAAATGCTCTAAATCTTTATGGATCAGAGAAATGCAAATTAAAACAACTCTGAGGTACCACCTCATACTTATCAGAGTAGCTAATATGACAAAAAAGGAAAATGTTGGATTTTGGAGGGGATGTGGGGAAACTGGGACACTAATGCATTGTTGGTGGAATTGTAAACTGAACTAACCATTCTGGAGAGCAATTTGGAACTATGTCCAAAGGTCTATAAAACTGTACATACCCTATGATCCAGCAAAATCACTGCTAGGCCTGTGTCCCAAAGACATCTAAAAAAAAATGGAAAAGGACCTATTTGTACAAAAATATGTATAGCAGCTCTTTTTGTGGTGGCTAAGAATTGGAAATCAAAGGGATGCTCATCAATTGGGGAAGTGGCTAAACAAGCTATAGAATATAATTATAGTGAAATATTATTGTGCTATTAAAAATGACAAGCAGGATGATTTCAGAAAAACCTGGAAAGACTCACAGGAGCTGTTGCATAGTAAAGTGAATAGAACCAGGAGAACATTGTACACAATAACAGCAGTATTGTTCAGTGAAGAACTGGGAATGACTTAGCTATTCTCAGCAATACAATGATCCAAGACAATCCCAAAGGACTAATGATGAAGCATACTGTCTGCCTTCAGAGGAGCTGATATTGATTGAGTACAGACTGAAGTGTGCTATTTTTCACTTTCATTCTTTCGTTTTTTTCTGTCATTCGAGTTTTCTTATACAAAATGACTAATATGGAAATGTTTCACAGAATTGTACATATATAACCTGTATTTGATTGTTTGCCATGTAAGTGAGGAGGGATGGGGGAAATGATAGAATTTGTAACTCAAAACCTTAATTAAAAATTGTTCAAAAATTTAAAAAAACCTCATAAATCAGATTTATAGGACAGAACTGCCACATGCACAAAGTTTTGCAAAAATTAGTGTTTGTTTAAATAAGTAGTCACTTCTTACTGAAATTCAATTACATCCAGAAATGTGAGAAATAAAATGTTCAAGTGATAGAAAATGTGTTATATGTTTTCATTTAACCAGTTGCTTTCACATTTTGGAAAGGTGGGCAATGAAACTTCAAATCTCAGAACATATTACAGGATTCTTATGATGACTAGTGAAAGGTGAACTATATTTCCTAATGCTCTAGAAACTCTTTTGAGTAAGCTAAATAAATTTCGGCCTTGAAGTGTCCAGAAGAATTATTTATACAGGCACATTTTTATCCTTTGATAGTTTAAAATGAATTTTTTAAAATAAACATTCCCTCTTACCATATTCTCCCTACCCCCCCTTTCTTTCTTTACCTCTCCCCATTTCTCTTCTCCTCCTTCCTCTCCCCCTACCTCTTTGCCTCAGTTCTCCCCCCCCCATTCCACCCCCTTATTTCTTGCTCTCTTTTTTCCAGTTCCAGGTTCTTAAAAATGTGTGATTTAGGACATCTAGTGTTCAGCCACTGAAGCAAAATAGTTTTTTTTTAGGGAGAAAAAAATCAACCTGGTGATTTCTTGGGAGAAAGATTAGTTTGGAAAACAAACTGGTAGTGATTTATCTTGCAGTAGTAGTAGTTTTCTGTTAAGCTTTAGATCTTTTTAATTTTTCAAATTTTTTTAATGTAATCTGACTTCTTGAATACAGAATGACAAAAGATCATGTTTTTTAGCTTATGCTCTCATAACATATTTATTACTCCACTATTGGGACTCATTTTCCCATCAAAAAATTTTGGGGGAACTGCCAACCTCCAACAAAAGAAGTAAGATTGTTGAAAAAATCATTAATATTGAATCTGTGAAGTGCTTTCACTTATTTTCCAAACTGACACTATAGTTTTGTTATATATATTATAGTCAAGAGGTAGCAAGAAAGCTATGATTTATTTATTTTTTTTTGGTGAGGCAGAGGGGTGAAGTGATTTGCCCAGGGGTCACACAGCTAGTAAATGTCAAGTGTCTGAGGCCGGATTTGAGCTCAGGTCTTCCTGAATCCAGGGCTGGTGCTCTATCTGCTACGCCATGTAGCTGCCTCGAAAGCTATGATTTTTGCAGTCAGAGAGTCTGTGATCTTGTCAGTGCGGTCACTCATATTGTAGCATACCAAATACTGTTTCATCCAATTTGATACATTTCTATTCCTGTTCAGAAATCTTTTAAAAAACAAATTGTATTGCCATCAGTTCAACAAAACTATCTAATATATTAAAAAAAAATCTCGCATTACATGCAGTATTCTGCATCTGGGGCAGCTAGGTGGCACAATAGATAGACCACTGGGCCTAGACCTGAGTTCAAATATTGCCTCAGACACTCAGTAGCTGTGTGGCCCTGGGCAAGTTACTTAATCCTGGTTGCCTCAGTTTCCTCATCTATAAAATGAGCTGGAGAAGGAAATGGCAAGCTGTTGCCTGCAACCAGATAATACACCCAACGGAAAGGCATGAAATAAACGT